TGACCTAATACAGAGAAGTTCTTGTTAGATATTCACTGCTCATCACGCATGCAGAAATGCCTATTTGAATTTGACAAAAGATACGGGAACCACTAACGGATTCATTTTTCAAATAATCAATTCATCAATAGAATCTTAGTTGGTATGATTGACCTGCTTTGACTGTAATAACCAAGCAAAGAGCATTAGGTTAACAAAAAACGCATTTACACTCATTCCTTTATCATAACAAACAACTTTAAAGTTCAAAACGAGTATTTCTAAATATCTTACAAAACCTTCGCGAAAGAGTAATCAGTGTATAAGCTTAAGTCATAAGTTTATTACAAATAAACGATAAAGGTTTTACCGATGAGTATTCGAGGAATTACCTTTCCCGGACATCCAGTCTTGTGAAGTGCTTTGATATCCGATAAACCTTTTCAGAACGATGTGTAGGACCTGTAAAACAGGCCTTGTCATCAAACTGAAGCAATTCATTCATAACATGCACTCTCTTAGTTAGAGATAGAGTTCCTGACCATGTGTATTTCTCACCGGGGCGGATTAGCGTAGCTGCAGCTTGAAATTCTCGAACAAACTCTTGAAGATCTTCAGTTTGCTTCTTTTTCTGTTTCTTGCTCATCGTATTGGCGATGTTTGCTCCTTCCCCCACTATTTTTAGCGTTTGAAGGACACATTCGCCTACACCTTTCAAAACGAGTACTAGATTAGTAACTATTGCTCCTGCAATTAGCAACGGGACGGCGACACCAGCAGAAACTCCTATGAGAACCGGCCAGTTGATTCTGTCCGTGACCCAGACTTCGTACTCGGTATCGTTCAAAACAGAACAACTTGATCCCATGATTAAAGACGGAGTTTAAGCCTCAAACTGCTTGTTAGCGGAAACGTCTCAAACAAAGTTGCGCCGGAGATATAAACAGGCTTCAATTCCTGTGAACCTGTGAAATACAAAATCGTGCGGAAATCAGTTGCAGTGGGAAAACACGGCGCAGCAAGATCGGGGTTGTTTTTAAAATAACTCCCTTAAAAGGAAATGGCTAGAGGGGACGCACTATCACGAGATTCACGTGAGTCTCACAGGAGTTTTTCTCGTGACAATCACCTAGCTGAGATCAGGCCCAATCTTAGCGGTTCTCATACATTCTATCTAACGGCTACCGTTTTGCCTTGCCCGCCGGAATGTAATTTTCAAAGCGAAACGAAAACAGAGCCTGATCTCAGGTCACAATCACAGCAGTATTCAGTAGGCATTACGTCAAACGCATTCGATAATTTTCTTCACGTTCAGACTGAGGACCTTTATACATGAACGTAAAACTCAGCAAACTGAAAAGTCAGGCGAAGACTTTGTGAATTCCGCCTCCGGGGAAATACGGGGTTGAATAAACAATGGGATGTTGATTACTGTGAACGGGGTGTTACTAAACAGAGTAACGCAGTAACGAGAAAACGAGTAACGGGATAAAAATTTAAGAGGTTAAAAATTTTTAAAACTAGGGGTACCTTCCGGCAAGTGCCAACGAGGCGAATTCGTATATCTTTTGTGGAATGTGCCTATTCAGATGTTCGCGATATTTTTTTCATAATTTTAGGTTTAAAATGGATTCCGCTATATTATGCTACGCCAAAAGTGACAAAATATCAAAGATGCAACTTTATAATTCAAATCCACCAATTCACTATCAAGATCGATAAAATTAACGTCAATTTGCTTTTTGAATGTGTCAGGATTGTAGAATTTAATTTCCATTCCCACGTGTTTCATGTCATATATCAAGAGACACGTTTTCTAAATCAAGATTCATGTTTTTTAAATCAAGAAGGGAGACGACAATTTTTGATCAGTTTTGTTTCCGAGAGGGACTGAAACCGAGCAGACAGGCTGGAATTCAAGGTTTAAAAGTGTTGAGGGGCCTACACGACTCCTGCAGTTCGCAAATAGATTGGTCTTAAAACCTTTATAGTTTAGCTCTTACTTGAGTGTCTTTTAGGGATTTTCCTTTGCGATATGAAATGAGGGGAGGTTCCTTAAAGATGTTTCTGAGATATCCCCAGGAGTATGTTTTTGAGGTTGGGCAACGCAGGCTGGTATTGCGTTACAAAGGGTAGTATTTTCTTACTAACATTTTTGTTTCTCTGTTCTAGTGCTTTCTTTCTGTCTGCGAAAATGACCTCTGAGAGGTGTTTTTCTACAGTTGTAGCTGGGTAATCTCTATTCTTGAGGCGTGTTGAAAAATTCCTCATGTTCTCTTCAAAAGTGATTTCAGAGGAATTGTTCTTAGAAGCCTTTATAGCTTCTCCTTTGATGAAGCCTTTTGCGACGCCTGGTGGGTGACACGAATACAAATTCGTGTATTGGAATGTCTCTGTGGGCTTGAAGTGTGTTCGAACGTCAAGGATAGAATCCTTGTTCAATCTGACACCTTTGTACCTTTCGTGTCCAAGAATGTAGTCCTGTTTCTGATATTTCAGCCGTGTGTGAATTTGATTGTAGGATGGAAGTTGTTTACCTGTAGCACGAATTCTTCTATTTTGTTTCTGCTTGTGTCCCATACTGATATGACGTCATCGATAAACCTTTTCCAAAAGATGGGCTTAATGCTGCTCTGTCTGAGTACTTCTTTTTCTATTTTGGCCATCAAGATGTTAGCAACGGCTACGGCCATTTTCGTGCCCATGGTTGTTCCATGGGTTTGATGATAATCTTTCTCGTTAAATTGGAACGAGTTTTCTAGTAGTATCAGACTAAGCATTTCGCTTAAAATCTGGTAGGGACTGGAGGGTTTCCTTGGTGAAATTCTTCGTATGCAAGGCATACAGTGGTAATACCCTCTCGTTGTGGTTTTTTTTTGTATAGGCTTGTGACGTCCATTGAAACATGTATGGCACTTTTAGGCAGTTTAATCCTCTCGATGAAGTTAATAATAAAAGTCTGTCGTATCTTTAAGATACGAAACTTGTAGTTGTGCTATTGGCTGAATAAGGTTGTCAACAAATGCTGAGATCCGTTCTGTATGTCCGGAACACCCTGATATAATAGGTCTTCCGACAGGTGTCGGTTTGTGGATTTTAGTAAGTGTGTAAAACACGGGGATTCGCGGAGGATTAGACGTAAGGGAGAGCCATTTAGCCGTCGTTTTATCAATGTGGCCTTCTGAGAGCAATGTTTTAATAAGTTGTTGAGCTTCTTTGGTTGTAGTTTCAACCATTGGTTTGTCTAGAGGTCGGTAGTTATTTAAATCATCAAGCAGAACCCGACCTTCGTTTAGTTTGTCCTGTCTGCTCATCAATACGGTAGACTACGAGTAGTCCCCCATTTTTCCTCAGGGATAGTAGAGCGAGTGAAACGCGAGCGCGCGTGAACATCACCCCACGCGAGAAAAGGCGACACGCGGTGGGGAGAGAGAAAAATGAGGGACTACAGCTCATTTTTCTCTTT